CTCATGAAATGAACGACGAGAACGAAAACACACCAACTCGACAAAATGAAAATCAATACACAACAAGACTGCACAGTCGGTGGTGAAGTTAGTCTAAGAAACAGATTTTTGGTGTCGAAAGACAAGCACTTAAGGACACTTTAATGGTCGAGGTTGGAAGAGATGCACTAACTTCAATGACCTTCATGAAAATTAACTGTCATAAATGAAAATTGAGCATTTTCAAGTTACTGAGTTGATGTGTTTTCCCTGAAACTTTCAGATACTTAGACCGAATTGACCAAGGGTGGCAAGTTCTTGAAAAGTTAGAGAAAATCGTGGAAAGTCAGAAAAAACCCCGGACAATTAAAGGCGCTCCGCTCTTTTTAATGGTTTAGCCTGGATGCAACTATTCGTGTTCTCGGGATGTCTGCGTTGCATTCACAAAAAATTGCAGGCGCTCCGGTTTTCCCAAGCAAAACGTATGGAGAATGTGCACCATGCGTGCACCACATTTTTGTCGCGTCATCTGAGAGTACTGAAACAGCAATTTGAAGACGTGATTTTTTACAGATTAGATCATTTTTTCGTATATACCTATATCCTCCAATAATTGTCCAATTTTTAAACCAAGGATGTCCTCGTATACAATGCACTCAGTAATTTCCACTTTAACACGCTTTTCATCACATTTTAGACACCTGCAAATTCCTAATGGCAGCGTTGCTGAATTGTAAACATTTTTCACCAAACTATTTTCTTAGAGGCATCATGGATGTTAATAATCATCAATCATACAAATTACTACCGATAACATTTCTGCAATTTGCATCATTTTGCAACGCTGCCTTGGTACTACACGATTCATCCGAATTTCGAAGATTTTATAGTGAACACAATTTTAAGTGCAAAGTAGAAACCTCATGAGAACCAACAACCGCAGCCGTACGATGTACCGGAGAAAACCAGAGCGCCTGCAATTTTTTGTGTATGCAATACGGACATCCTGAGAACACGAATAGTTGCATCCAGACCTAGACATTGGAAAAACCGGAGCGCCTTCAATTTGTTTTCCGTCTGAAATAGCAAAATGGGTCATTCTTTGCGTTCGTATGTTGTCTTTGCACGAAGTATTTAATGACATTGAAGAAAAAAAAAGAACGAGTAACTACACGGAAAACATTGAATTGCTTATTTAACAATTCAATTGCTAAAAAAGTGACTGCAATGCTTCAAAGTAGACCTTACAACAAAAAAATACTACCATTATTACCATATTAACCACCCCCGTGGTTAAATTAGATAGTGTAGAGCTTTAACCACGGGGGTAGTTAAAGTAGCATTTTTATGTTGTAAAATCTACTTTGAAACATTGCAGTCACTTTTTTTAGCAATTGAATTGTTCAAGAGAAACGTTCCGTGAAACGATACCTCAGTACACAAAAATTTAAAATTTAGCTATTGATACCAGATTATAGAGGTGTATTCTATTGACTTTCTAAAACAGAAATCGCTCGAAGATGTGCAACCGGTTCTTTTCCTTAAGTTACCTGCTCAGAACATGTAGTCTCGAGGATAAGCTGTTTAAGCTTCTAACCCGCCATGTTCAGAGAAGGAAATTGCCAAATTACGAGTACCTCCTATGAAGCAATTTCTTTTATGTGGTTGTGGAAGAGGAAAGTGAAATTAATAAAAACTCTTTAATAAGGGACAGCACAACGTGCGTCGTTACCCTGAAAAGATAACTTTTTTGTGGGCTAAAAGAAACAGACATGATTCTGTAGTATACGTTCAAGAATCCCCCCATAAAATAGCACTTTCGCGTGGAGCAAAATACTTCCTACACCGGCCGCTTTTCCTCTCGACCAATGGCGAAGCGTGAATAATCGAGTATCGATATTTCTCCATTCGAAGCTGTGGTAAAGAATCGATTATTAAGGTGTTCGTTGCGGACACCCTCTTTATCGATCATTTTCCGTATGTTCAGACACCAGACCGATCGATATATCGCAAAGCACGCCGCGCCACTGCTCTCGACTTATTTTCTCGTCCGGCAGGACACCCTCTTTATCGATCCTTTTCCATAGGTTTAGACAGCAGACCGATCGATATATCGCAAAGCACGCCACGCCACTACTCTCGACATATTTTCTCGTCCGGCAACTACGTTTCAGCTGAAAAGCAGCTTCCCGGTGATGGCGCTTCAGCGTCGCGGCCCACCGGAACCTTTTACAGCCGCAAACAATAGGGCAGAGGTTGAAGGAGGTTATTGGGTTAAATGTCTTGGATTATGAGGTTGAGTTCTCTCAACGAACCGGGAACAAAGGAGCCTCAAGTTCCCGCGCCCTGTAGATCGGCTTCAGGACTGTGCTACTCTCGCCGAAAATTACGAGGGGCAAATTATCGCGTTTGGTAACCGTGCGGAGTTGTGAGCGTAAATAAGGGCACCCCGAAGAGTGGACGAGCCGGAAAAGCGCCTTCAAATTCGATGGTAGACAATCAGCGACACGAGTGCACGAATAGTTGCCTACTCTGTTTTGTGGGACTCCTCAATGAAAGAGTTTTAGAGTCGCCTCTGCAGTGCGCGTATTTTGTGTTCTGCGTGCATTGATGCCTCAGTAACTTTTCAGGAATTTTTACCCTTGCTTGAGGAATCAATGGGCAGACCATCAATGGAAATGAATTGTGCCATGTTAACGGTGTCTGTTGTTAGTGTTGGTATTGACCATGCACTGGAAAAAAAGATTGGTAGAGTTTACCATTCCTTCACGCTGTATTTCACACAGCGTGAAGGAATGGTAAAATCTACCAATTTTTAAGTCGATTCTGCCAGAAAAATGGTTACCTGTACCAGTATATAGTAACGTTTACCTTTCTTCTGGCAGAATTGACTCTGAATAATTGACGCCGTGTGAAATACAGGGTGAAGGAATGGTAAATTCTTCCAATCTTTTTTTTCAGTGTGTGTTTCCAGATATCTCCATTTCCCGAACTTAAGACTGTCATACATTTGCTCTTAACTTTTGAGTGAAGTTTCTGCACTAATTGAAAACCATCTTAATTTTTTGTTAATGTCTGGATAAACTCAGGAAGGGAATCCCGGTGTAATGAATACAGACGGTTTAGTAAAGGACCTTACGCCCCTCCATTTATGATGTGTTGGATTTTATCAATTGTACGAATTAATGATTTTCATTTTCTGCGTTTTTTTATTGTTTTATTTTACTTCCTTCATTTTATTTACACGCGCAGATGATTCTCAATTCACAATTAATGATTTAATCTAACAATTCCAATGAAGAAAAATGATAAATGTGTGTTGCGGAAACATGCACTAAGAAAGATTTTTCTTAATTATTTTATTCATTTATATTTTTATTTGATTGATAAATGAAGAAATAAAACAGTTTCCTTCGATAGAAAACAGAATCGGTTCCTTTTGCTCGTGGTTTCGTATTATGACGTCAACGCGACGGCATCTTGCAAAGTCGGGCAACACCGTCGAAGCATCGATTGATAATGTCTTTGATGGGACATTTATTCAGGAGCTTTCCCGCTCGTCGCAGCACGACTCCGTCGCCGACGGTTGCACGCCCACGCAACCCCCCTACCCCCCCTTCTCCCGGGGGGGGGGGGCAACCCCCTATTCAAGGCGACACGCGTCGACAACCGTATGACAAACGGCTTGCTCGAGTCGAATAGATGAGTTAGACGATCGAGGGAGGAAAACTAAACGAGTGGGAGTGAGAGCTCACTCGGGTTCAAATTTTCCGATCTTTTATTTTCGGAATCGTTTTCCTCGCGGAGGAACGTAACTATATTTCAATGTTGCCCGATTTCCCCTCGTAATTTTCAATTTTAGCTAGAGAATCTTGGACATTCCCAACTAAACATCTCGCTGCTTTTTCATCTGATCTCACGCAAAAATCATGGAAATGTTGGACAGAAATTGAGGTATGGTACATCCTTGTAAAAATCGGATTGTTCCAGTCAATCTTGCAACTCTGTAGTAGAGTTACGTTCTTTTGCCCAGGGAATGATGAATTTGCCCCCCCCCCCCCCCCCCCCCNGCGTTTCAGAAGACCTGGGCTAAGAACAAGGAAAATAGATCAAACTTAAAAAGTACTTTTTTTTTTTTTGAAACAAAAGACCCGTATTTTGATTGCGAAGTTGCGAAACTACGTATTACCATTACGGTGTTTCAAAATTTCAGCTCCTATCTTATTTTTTCAAAAAGAAGCAAGCTAACTTTAGAGCTTGAAATTTTTACAGAATACTCTGCTGATAGAGGAGGAAAAATGAACAAGTTTTCAAGAAATTACGTTGACTAGTTTTCCGAACGAAACATTTTCCGCCAAATTTATCGTCTCCAAAAAGCCATGTTATTTAGAAAATTATTTCAATCGGGATGTCTGTGCGAATTTAACTTTTGGCTAATTTTTGATCGAGTTGCTGAACAATGTCTAACAGGAAGTGTACAACGCACTGAGAAAAACCACTAATTGGTTTTTAAAGCCACAGATTTCTCTCCGTGCGTCGCAAACGAAGATACGTTGTTTCGCCCTTCAGTCATCGATTTGTAGGTTCTAAATCAGAGGGCGAAAGAAGCTCTCGTTTTTGAGGGTTTATAGGTGCGTTGTCGAAGTAAACTTTCCGTTTGCGTTGGGTGCTCAACGCTAACGGATATCACGTGACCATTGACATACCCGTCGGGAAACGCGTCGTCGGTTGTCTCTGTTGACTAAAAACTGTTGTGTTTTGAGTGCACAATTACATTCAGAGGTTAGCTCAACGCTCTCAACTACTTCTTGAGACCGATGACTCGTTGACTTCCGTTTGGTAAACAGTCCAGGACATCGGGCAATCCAAACGGAGTCGAACAACGCCGAGCGTTTGGAATCGGGTAATTCCGTTGCCCAACGGTCCTAAACAGTTTACTTCGACAACGCAGCTTACGACTCATTCGTAAGATCCTTTTTCATTCTATCCTCTCGAGCAGGCGTAATAAACACAGCAATACATCACATCGAGAAACATTTTTATTCCAGAAAGCATGAAAATCAAAATTACAATTATATTACAAGAAGTATCCTACCTTTTAAAGTTAATTCGGAAAAGCCGATTGCTTTTCGCGCATATTTTACCGTTGGGAACAGCGGCCCCCGTGCTTAACCTATCGTTTTCGGCGGTCACAAAACGATGCCCAATAACTCGACGATGATGGAGACAACACTCGTGATTATATCCACACCCACACCGACGAGAAATCCGAGTATCAAGGGAAGGAGCTCCCCGCCAAGGCCGATAGCGGTGAGCACCTGGACGAGAATTATGGCGACGATTTTTAAAACAGCTTTAGGGATTCCGGCTAGAAGAGGATTATCCGGGCTCACAACGCTCGGAAGGCTCTTAACAAGTGCCAGGGCGTCTTCTTTTGAGGTTGGCAGGCTGAACGAGTTTCCATCGACGGTAATAATCAAAACTGAGCCGATAGCCAAGGCGACAAGGAACAAGTGCTGGATCTGCATGATTGCCGGGAGCTTGGAAGCTGTGAACGCAGTGCCGAAAAGTGTCAGTGAAAAGCAGATGGCGAAGAAAAGCCACGAAAGAATGGTTTTATCGAATTTTTTCAGAGGAAAAATCAAAACGGAATGGAGGGTCTTCGTGGACAAGGCGCACATGGAGAAAAAAACTTCGTGTCTGGGACCCGAAGTTGAGGTCATTTGGATCTCTATGAAGTTTCCGGATCACGCATCCAATCCAATAACTTGAGGTCCAACTGCCGGAGTTCGGGTCAGACATCCGAATTACTTCGGTAAGTACCGGAGTACTCAGATGTGCGGCCCAAACCCTTCGGTATGTACCTAGGCACTTCAGATGTCTGACACGAACTTCGGCAGTTGGACCTCAAGTTATTGGATGCGTGATCCGGAAACTTCATAGAGATCCAAATGACCTCAACCTCTGGTCCCATGCACGAAGTTTTTTTCTCCGTGCATAAGTGCAGTTTTTGCTATTCCAAGAAATGAATGTTTTTAGTTTCAAAATTACATCAAGCCTTATGGCAGAAAGGAACTTTAAACTAACTTTTCGATGCTTTCAAGTTGGATTTTAGTCGTGGATTTTTCTCAAAATAAACTTTCAAACTAGTTTTAGTTGAGTTCGTGAATATCGCAATTTTTTTTTCATACACTTTACTTATGCGCCTTTTCCTCCAAGTCTCTCAGTTATTTTTTATTTCGTGAGAATTTTTTTTAAAATTTAATTGAGTCTTCCTTCAACTTAAAGACGAGTGAGTTTGTCATCAATGACAAGTTACATTCCTTTGAATTTATAGAATGAAAAAAAAAAATGATAAGGTAAAAATGCAAAGGAGAGGTTTGCCAAAAGCAAAAGTCGGCTTCATCCTAGATTTCTGAAACCCGAGCGTTTTCTGGCAAGACAGGAGGTCTATTTTAAACGAAAGTATACTTCGCTTCAGCCGGTTATGGAATTTCTACAAAGAGATATATACTGCCGTCAACATGAGCCTCGAAGTTGTAAAATATCATTTTCCGCGATTTTCCCCAATTTAATCCCGTAATTTTACCAGAACGCGAGGGAGTATAAGGGTAATTTATGTGTCAATTCTCTTTTCTTGTTCCACAAAAAACCCTACCTGAATTGCATCCCAATATTACCTTGCGCTTGAACGTTTATGTGTTAATTTACTCCGCCAAGGAGCATGCTTGAAAAACAGTGCAGGAATAAAAACTGACAAATAAAAAACGGGGTAAACTATGTCTAGTAACCGATCTGTGCAACGCAAATAGAGCTTGCACATCGTTAGTTAAGACATAGTCAAAATCTGATCGGTGCCGAATAAGCACCAGTCAACGGTGTAATGCACGTATTTGAATGGAATCATTGATGAGGAACGACATGAACAAGACTTGACTTAAGTCTCAACACACTATGAGTGAGCACTAGTTAGAGTGAGTGGAATTTGATCCGGGGAAAAATGCAACTATTGAAAAGGTTTGAAGGTGCAATAAATACGGTTATGCATTCCGTAATATTTTTTGGAAAAAGTTTGCGTTAATTCATGACCTGTATTATCATCAGTATGAATGAATACTTTTTTGCTGAACAAAGATTTTGATTCTCGAGGTAGGCGCCAAAAAATAAGTAAATAAATGAAACGCATAAGAATCACCTTTCCCGATCGAACCTTTTTTTTTCATGTGTATAATATAACTTTGATATTTGCACTGTGGTAATTTTGCAGCAAGTTGTCTGAATTTTCGACAATTATTGATTTGTAATGGTCGCAGCTATAATATTTCTAGCGCTACTGTGTGAAGTGTATCTAAAGAAGCGTTTGTTGAAGGCAAAAAGTTCTCTAACTATAGTTAAACAAATAATTCATCTTTGAACGTACCTTGTAAATCAAAACTGAAGCACTCACGAAATTATTCGAAGAGAAGTATCACAATGAATGTAAATTTTCAAAGTGGCCAGCGTATTTATACCCGTAAATCGGAATTTTTCTATCAATATTCTGAATAATTTATAATAGATATACTTCCAATCCTTGAACCAAATTGTTTCACAAAGGAAGTATAGAAAAAGCAAATCAATTAGAAAAATTAACAAATGCCATTCTCCTCTTACATATTTAAAATCCGTGATAATTGAGTGCATACAAAACATCCCACGTGACCGCCGAAACTTTTTAGGAGGTCCCTCTCAATCATGTCATGGGTTTTTCAATAAGGTCACAATCCCAAAAAAATCATAGCAGTTGATAAGTTGAGTACTTTGCACATGCTGCAGCCTTGGAATTTGCATTATGAAATAATAATAACTAATAGAAAATGTAAGTAGGTGAGCGAGGTAGATATGCGCCGAAATGACAAATGGCAGGTGACCAGAATCGAGGATGGTTCAGCATCGTAGACGATTGAAACCCCTTTACTCACGCGTTTTCTTATTTCTCACGCTGAAATTGTACGAGGATCGTCCAGAGAGTAAGTTTATCTATTCAGCGTCTCCTAAACTGAAACAGACAGCAGAAATTTGTAGAAATCATCATAAAGCCCTATTTTTAGCTTTGTAACGCGCTATAGATTTTTAAATTTGGTTCAGTAGAACTCCAGAAAAGTGGATTTTTTTGAACCTACAACTATCCTCCGCTCAGGTCCACAATTTCACGGAGCAGCATCAGCAAGTGAACTACTTCATCAATCGCTAATCGTAAGAAAGGGATTTAGAGGTGATAGAATTTCATGTAAAATACGAGGAACTTTATTTTTTCTCCAGAAAATTGCAGGATTATTCGATAATTACAGTGGGTCAGGACTGGACTATAATACATGGAAAGGTTAAGCTATACATTCGGTCAACTTGTGGAGTTGTAACGCTGAATTTGGTCACGGTGTGTAAATTGCGATCCAGCGTTGTAAACATTAGTGTTTACAACGCTTTATTTTTCAAAACTACACGCATTTTTGACAAATTTTTCCGTTTCAGCGCGAGTGGAAGTTTAACGCTGGCAATTCGTTAACTTTTTTCGGATGTAACTTATCTTATGGTAAACACGACCATTCTCTACCTGATAAATGCTCTTTTCTATGTTTTACAATATTTTCAGCCACCTCTAAGCCTGCGAAAAACGATAGACACAGCAGCTCACTTGCTGATGACGTTCCGTTTTTTTGACTCGGGCGGAGAGGTGGTGGGTTCAGAAAAACCCACTTTCCAGGGTTTAATTTAACCAACTTTAGAAATCTACAGCGCGGTAGAAAAAGGACAGTAGCGGCTTATCGCGTTTTTCTACAGATTTTTTCTATCAATCTTCGTTTAGGAGTTATTGAACAGGTTAACTTACTTTCTGGACGAACCTCCTGTTTTGGGTCACGGGGATTCCAGTCGGAGGAACCAAATTTCTGACATTTTCATCGATGCTTTCAGTGCGAACAACGAGCATTACGTATAAGTAAGCACGGTTTAACATCAGAGATAGTCGTATACATAGCAGCCAGGGTAACCTAGAGTAAAAGTGGGTTCTCTGTCGTGCTAAGGAAGAACGCCGTATGAACATTCGAGAGTTGCCAAATTTCCCTTGATAAAACACGTATTTTTGACGACATTTATGCACATTTTTCCTCGAAATTTTCAGATATTTTAGATTAAATTGCGTACGAAATTGTCTGAAAATTTTGGAAGCAAATATTCACTATTTTCCCTGCAAATTCGGTATTTATCGAAGGAAACTTGGCAACGTCTGATGGCTCATACGGCGTTCTTTCTTAGCACAGCGGTACTCGCCTCGCCAAAAATGAACTATCCGCTCGCCCAGATCGTTCAGAATTTCGTGTATTTAAATGGGCACTGCTGTTGCTGCGTGTCGGGTTTTCCTTGAATTTTGGTCAGTTTTTTAGTTTTATTGATTTATCAGCATTGTGTTGCTGTGATCTTTGAAGTTGCAAAGTTTCAGAGAATGGAGGTGTAGCATGTGTGAGGAATTTGCGATTCGACTGTTGATTCTTATGTAAAAGTTCGCGAGAAACACGATGGTCCCACTGGTTTTCTCTGAAATCAACTCCCAAGCTCAAAAAAAGTTCTCAAGTTAAGGCCAAAATGGAGGGGATATCCCAACCTACCCTGAGAATCCACGTCTACATCAAGACAAACTCTCCATGCAAAGATAGGGAGCAAATACATTGACAGGGCTGCCACTTTATTTGGGGACTCCAAAACTTAAAACACGGCAACCCTGCCAATGTATTTGCTCCTTATCTTTGCATGGAGAGTTTGTCTTGATGTAGACGTGGACTCTCAGGGTAGGGTGGGATATCCCCTCCATTTTGGCCTCAACTCAAGAGCTTTTTTTGAGCTTGGGAGTTGATTTCAGAGAAAACCAGTGGGGCCATCGTGTTTCTCGCGAACTTTTACATGAGAATCAACAGTCAAATCGCAAATTCCTCACTCATGCAACATCTCCATTCTCCATTGGTCGATCGCCTCTCCACTCTCCACGTAAGATAGGGATTCGAGTCCGCGCTGTTTATCCTCGGTTATCCTTATAACTGCTAGGCAGCACTCGAAACAATGACCTAACCTCGGGACGATGACAAAAGTGGGTGAAAGTTCGGCAACAGGGATCTGGGACCAATCATCCAATTCAATCGGTGACGGGTGGTGACTGGTGACCGTCAATGCGTTTGTCATACGAGAATCAGTGCGCAAACAAAGTTGCCACTCCGAGCAATCCAAATTAACGCAGTAGATCTGTCGACGGCAAATAGTCAAATCAGGCATTATGTCAAATGCCTCGGCAAATGGTCAAATATTCTTACTCAGATTGAAATTTTGATTTTTTAGCCTAACTTTAGACAAAATACTTCGTTGCTATTGTAAACAAGAATTTTCTGTAAAAATTTGCAGTATACAATAGTATTTTAAACGATTTTAAGATCTTGCATGGATGCACATTTATTATGAATTTTTCAGCATGTCATGAAACATAGAATTTTTTAAAATTTTAACATTGAAATGTGCTAAAGGCATGTATAAAGGAAGGAACAAGGAGAGTTCGCGGATTTGAAGATTTATTCTTCCCAAAACATTAAAAACCCGCGAACTCCTCGCCATGAATTTACAGAATTCCGTTAACTGTCAACATTGACTATCGGCCGAGGTATTTGAGTTTTTTCTTGTAAAATCTACATTGAAACATTGCAGTCATTTTTTTTTTTAGCACTTGAATTGTTAAATTAGCAATTTAATTTTTTCCGTGTAAGGTTTATGTGATCGCACATGAGCCGCCACCATTGACCACTCGAATGACGTATTTGAATCTTCGAACCATTTAAGTGGAGCATCTTTCATTTACCGGATTATATAAAGATCAGGGACGCTTTTGGTATCAAAAATTTGAGTGTGCGCCAAAAAATCGGCTGAAAGACGAGATAAATTCAATAGGAATCATTCATCACGTTCTCCAAAGGAAGATTTTTCATTCGGTTCGGCATCAATGGGGTGCACTAAGGAGTAATTGAACCTGACTTTGAAGGTCCGCCGCGCCTCCCCGTCTCCGTCTCTCTAATATCAGAGCTTGACGCATCGCGCGTGTCCTCCACCGATGCTGATGATGATCCGATGAACGGTGAATATTCGGCAGCAATTTCATGACTCACGTGCCCAGGATTTCTTTTGTAGTTCTCGTATTGTGCACGTAAACCTCTGTGAAGGGTTTTATGCATGCATATCCTCGCTCCTGTGACGTAAGGGCGTATGTCGATTTCCGCACGAGTCCCAGAAAGCATGGATTTATATGTGAAGCAAGGATCACGTGGAAATTGACGCGCACTGAAAAAGAAGATTGGTAAAATTTACCATTTCTTCACGCTGTATTTCACACAGCGTGAAGGAATGGTAAATTCAACCGATCTTCAAGACGATTCTGCCGGAGGAATGGTTACCTTTACCAGTATATAGTAACATTTACCTTTCCTCTGGCAGAATTGACTCAAAATTGACGCTGTGTGAAATACAGCGTGAAGGAATGGTAAATTCTACCAATCTTTTTATTTTCAGTGTACGCCCTTACGTCAGGGGAGCGACGATATGTGTTCATCTTTCATTTTTTCTTTTACGTTTTTACTACTGCGTCTTGCTTTTCATCTAGAGGAGTATTCGGGGGTGGGAAGAGGAATTTCGAAGATATTTTTGCGACAACTTTTTGACAGATTTGAGTCTTACATTTTTTCCGATCTGTTGTATCTCAGCATACCCAGATTTAAACAGGGTGACATAGAACATTCAGGGAATATTGCTGGGGAATTTTGTAATTTTTTCTTCCAAAATATTGTATTTGTTCCATTTCAAGAGACTTTCCACCTACACTTTTACAAGAGAAAATTTTTTGTAAAAAGTCATGCCTTCCTCTCGTACCGCAAAAAATACATTGGAAAGTCGGGGAGTTTTGAAACGCAAGAAAACCTGTCACCCTGCAAAACCCTCAAACATTGTTTTATAGCTTTAAATGCCTAAATTTTTTGAAGTATCTCAAGGGTTTCGAGAAATCCCCGGCAAGTTTTCAAATTTCTCAGGTATTCCTTAAAAATCCCAAAATTTCCTCGTGAATTGTTGTCTCTCCTTTTATCTGCAAGTAACTCGTTCTTCGTTTTTGCCTCACAAAAAGTGGTACGTGTATGATTATCGAGAATACTCAGATTAAGATCTCAAAATCAGCCTCAGATGCAAAAAACAAAAGAAAACATTGACTTAAATCAGTCTAATCTTAATCTAATTATTTTTTACACCTTAAACCTTCTAGGATACGTCTATTTTGCCTCCACTAATTGACTTCTGCATATGGCAATTATACTCATATTAGTTTCATCCAGTGTCATCTAGCCAACCGGTCGGAGGCAGGCTTGAAATACATTTTCCCTGAATTTCCGCGAATCACGCAGATGAGATG